TGAACGTGGATCCGTACCTACCATGCATTTCGTCGCAAAACCACTTCCGGTCCCGCCCACTGGTCCATGGTCCGTGGAAGATTCCTTTAATCCATGATATTCAAACATATCAATGATGACGGTGCAGTGACACCCGGCGCTTTTTCTCACGCTCTCAATCGAAGCATGGTTGAATTCTGCCCTGAAGGCCACACCTTTCTTCTTTCGGGGTCGGTTTAACGGTACCAGAGAGGAAGAAAATGCTGACTTGTACATTGGTACGCCCCTACAGATCATTGTGTAGGACAAATGAAGTAGAATGCGCGCACAATCCCTCAAAAGACTTGATCACCGCCGATAGCTTTATCCTTTTTTATCATTTTAGTTTGATTTTTACCACTTGCAGTGCCTAGAATAAAACCGATCCTATGTGTTTGTCTGTATTTAAGATTGCTTTTAAGATGAAAACCAACAAAATTACTGAAAACTCACTAATTAAAAAGTAGTAAAGATTAAATAAAAAGGTGGGGGCATTGGGCGTTGATCGAACCTCTGGGCGACACGCAGCGTATTCTACTCCCATTCAGGATAGAAGTGATTTTTCAATGCAATTTGTCATTACAATGGCTTGGGGCCGATGCATGGCCGATTTGGAAGTAGGTGATTCACCAGTTAAGGAAACTCAGAGGAATTAAAAACATAGTACGTTGAGCTTCAAGGCGTGCGATCAAGAATTTGATGCCCGGACCGTGCAAGTATAGAGCAGTTCCATTTCATCAGCCACTGCGCCACGCAGAATATAATGTATAGTTTCACAAGTATGCTGGGTTGTGAACAAAACTTTCGCCCCAGGCATAAAACAATCAAAAACAAGTCAAAATTTGACTTGTTTTTGTTTGTTAACTGCTGTTTTTGGCCGCAGTTCGCCTTGCGAATGTTTCACAAGAATGCTGGGTTGTGAACAAAACTTTCGCCCCAGGCGGGACTAGAACCCGCACCTCTCGCTTTCCGGGCAAGTGCGCTACCAGTTACGCTACCGGGGCACCATTTCCGATATCGGCTAACCGGCTCAACACGTTATACGTGTGAGTGCTGAAAGCTATGGTACGTATACCATGAAAAGCTGAGTTGGGATGAAATGGTGCCCCGGTAGCGTAACTGGTAGCGCACTTGCCCGGAAAGCAAGAGGTGCGGGTTCGAGTCCCGTCTGGGGCGAAAGTTTTGTTCACAACCCAGCATTCTTGTGAATAATGAGTAAAAATAAAGACATAGTATGTACATACAATGATACTGTACTTTACAGATGTCTTGCAAGTGTAGGGATTTATCCAGTGGATAGTCGAGATGAAAAGCATCGACAGCGATTTCTGCCCTGGAAGCCGGAACACCATTATCATGCCGATTTGACCAAGTCATTCCTCATGGATCCCATTGAACACTGGGTATGAATTAAAATTGTCCACTATTTTTTTTTTTGAAAAATTCAAGTCCTTATCAGCGATCAGATTATCTCAGATACGCCGTGCATTCAAATTTCTTCAAAGTTTTTAAGGCAGTTGGGTTGGTGCATAGCCTATAGAACCACTTGCAAAGTGCACATTAGTCGCTTGTTGAGGTTTAGACCGACCTTAGCCGTTTTTAAGAGGGTAGTGAGCTCGACTGACTGCACATAGCGATTTTACACGCGACACGGCATTTGCGAGCATTTCTCTGGCTACTCGCTATTTCTTTGGTACACTGCTGTTTTCAGGGACCGTCAATATTCCACGAAAATTTGATCAGTATGCATCACCTTCAGCCGGAAGAGCTGCGTCTCATCGACGGATTACTGTATGGAGTAGCAGCCGGTATCTGGAATCGAACGCAGCCGTTGGTGGAAAACACCCTGGAGCCGCCACCACCTTCCTAGCACGGCAAGCACGGCGTCGCAGAGACTCCGAACCCCGAGCAGCCTTCAATCGTCCCGAATTCCATCACGTAGGGACGATAGAGATGGATGTACAGCAGGAAAGTGGGAAAACTGTTGAATATTTCCCGGGACATTCCTTGAAACCTCCTCCAATAAGCCTCCCCCTTTACTTCTTCCCCTCCTCGCAACGCCTTTCCGCGAACTTGTCTGAGTGTGCCGTCTAGCATTCGCTTTGAAGCTCTTCACGCTCCATCCACGATTCTTATCTCTTATTTTCGGCTGTTCTGTGCAATGTAGACATGCAGTAATTATGTTACAAAATTTATAATGGTGTTTTATTTTCTGTTTATTTAGATAAGTGTATTTGAAATTAATAATAATAGTCTTTCTTAAGTATTCTGTGATGTTTTTTTGAGGGTACAAAGGAATACGAAAAAATGTGAAAATGTGAATATTCACGACATTCGAATAAATTTATGATATCTACTGTGATTTCACTTGTATCAGCGATCTCCCCATGTTCACAGTGTTCCTGATCGGGCGCC